TATATATATTCACGTTCCTGTACATGCAAGTGCATGTGTGCGTACCTGTGTGTTGAGGCCAGAGGATGACTTCAGGTGTGATTTCTCAGGCCCTGACCACTGTTTTTTTGAGACAGGCTCTCTCTTTGGCCTGGAGCTCTCCAAGTAGCCTAGCCTGGTTGGCCTGCTGGTGCAGCCTAGGCTGTCTCAGCCTCTCCAGCTCTGGCATTATAAGAGCATGCCACCATACTGGGCTTTGGGCTTTGGTTTTCTGTTGTTTGTTGGTGGTTGATTTTGTTTTTAATGTATGTTCCAGGGATCAAACTGAGGTCTTTGTGCTTGTAAGGGAAGCACTTTACTGACCGAGCTATCTTTCCAGTCCCCTTCCATTGTTTCTTCAATATTTTTCTTTTATTTCATTACTATTCTCTTTTTGTACTCTTTAGGTGACGAGTTTATTTACTATTTTTTAAGTTTAAGAGAAATTTTGATTCAAGAATTTCATACAATGAATTTTGATTGTATTCCGACCTCCTCCCCCATCTCTACCCTCATCCTACCACTGCCCATGCCCCCATCCCTGACTTGATGTTTTATATTAGCAAATGAAAAATGCCATCTGTTTTAATAACACCTCTGAGCTGGGTGCTGGAGAAATCACATCTCTTTGGAGTGTCTGTGATGTATAACTCTTACACAGGGGTGTGCCAAATAAGGGCCCACTTCCTTTCCTTTGTGCATGGTTTTGGGTCAGAACGCTCCCAGGTTTCTTGGAATGGGATTTTTTCACTCTTAATTTCTGCTTCTCTTACACACTGCTGAGGGATTTCAAGTAAGGATTGCTCTTTCTCTGTGGCCAGAAATGCTTGGCTTTCCTCATCAAAACCTTACACCCAGGTTACACTTTGGCTGTTTCTGGGCCTCACTCAGCACAATGACCCCACTGTGAACCAAGGTGTTCTCCAAGACGTTGATTCCTCACAGCATTTTACTGTAGGTAAAAGTAGAAGCTAGTTCCTCACAGCAGGTAGCAATTAGCTCACAGGCCTCCGATCCAAGATTATGAGGGGCAGTAGGGAAGTTTCACAAAGTCACAGGACAGTTTTACACTAGTGTCCTCTAGTTTATTTTCTAAAATCTGTAGCCTTCTCAGATTCTTAATGTTGTTGAGGACTGCAACCAGGTCATGACAGCCACTGGGTGATGATGATGGTCAGCATGGGCAGGCAGGTTAGCTCTGCCCTGCTAGTGTGCATGGGTGGCCAAGCAAGTGCTGCACCACCATCTTGGCCTCAGTTCTTTTCCCTTTTACTTGCCAAGTCCTGAGTTCAGAATTTTGAGATCAATATAGAAATGTCTACGGTCAGGTAAACATTCATCTTGTGTGATAAGGTCCTCACATGCTCCATCACACATAGCCAGTCTCTTGGGAGTCAGTGTGCCTCATTCCTCTGCCATTTTTTCTCTCAACGCCATCATTTTGAGCTGTTTTGTCATATTCCTTCTTGTGGTCATCAAAACTCACACTGAACAATGAATGCTGGGTTGCAAAAGAGGATTTAGTTTTGCACCTGTCTTTCAAGCCTTTGTCCACCAGTTGAATACACACACACACACACACACACACACGCACACACACACACACACACACACAAGTGCTAGCATTATTGTTCTTAAGGCTTGGATTTCAGATTATTTTACACAACTCTTATTTTCTTTTGCAAAGCTTATATATATATATATATTTGTTTGTTTCTATATATTATATTCTGGGCAGTTCAGATGTCTCAGTATACTAATTGTCTTTTCATCTCTGTCAAATCAATTGTTTTTAAGTAGCATGATCATTTTTATAATGTCTCCTTTTTAGTTATTGCAATCCTTTTCTAGCTTCCTCATAATTGTTTTATCATCTTCTGCTCATATTTTCAGATATCGTTTATATCTTTGAATCATAAAGTATTTTTATTGTATTTCATTATCTAAGTATCAGGTGTCTGCTTTTCAGTCCTTTATTAAATGGCTTTAATGGAAACTAATTCTATGTCATTTGGGGGGATTTTTAATACAAGCCCCTATTTTGAATAGGATGTGTTGGTAAGCTTTTGATGGTTTCAATCAGGGAGAATTTTGCTTGCTCCTGCCTGGTCCCCAGGTTACTACTAACCTAAATACTTTAAATCAAATATTCACACTAACAGTTTAGGTGACCCAGGTAGCATGAAGCCATATAAATTGTGGCTCATGGTCAAGAAACTGAGTGAGAAATTTTCTCCCTGACCATCATCACAGTTGGTAAGAGACAAGTTTCCTTATATTTCATAGAAGTGAGACAGGTTTATGTCTGGTCTTTCCATGATCATGGAGTCCTTGAAAGCTTTTTTAAAAAAAATATTTATTTTTATCTGTGAATGTGTGTGTGTGTGTGTGTGTGTGTGTGTGTGTGTGTGTGCACGTGCCCCATGTGTGCAGGTACTTGCAGAAAACAGAAGAGGGTTTGGAACCCCTGGAGCTGGAGTCACAGGTGCTGGAGTTACAAGGAGTAGTGAGACACCAGATGTGGATGCTAGGATCCGAACTCAGATCCTCTGGAGGAGCAAAAAGCACTCTTTTTTTTTCTTTTCTTTTCTTTTCTTTTTTTCTTAATTGCTGTTTTTTTTAACTGATGTGTGTGTGTTTATTTCATACAGAACATCCCAAACAATCTTATTCATCTTTATACCCACATCACAAATAGCACCCTCCCATAGCCCCCTCAACTGGAGCCCATATACTCTGTCATCCCTGTTACTGTCCACTGTGTTGTCAGTGCTCCCAGCCGTTCCCCAGTGCAAGTCCATCTGCTGAGTCTAGTCAGCCTATCTAGAGTTCCTTGTTTTAGGAAGATCAGCTCTTCCTCATCTAGCAGCAATCAGTTGCCAGCATTCCTTTAGATAATATTGGGGTCTGCTGTTCGTTTTCCCAGTTCTATGCTGGGTTACTGTCTGGGAGTCTCTTGGGCCACCCTGGCCAACAACTCAAAGGAAGGTATCTCCTGTCTGGCATTGTTTCTGCAACAAGCACTCTTAACCACGGAGACATCCCTCCAGCCCCACCTTGTATGGGATCTCTCATTAGCATTCCCACTCTTGGTGCTTGGGGCTTTGTCTCTTCCTGTGCAGTTTGTGGACTGAAAGCTCCTAATGTCACCTGCACTTGGGAAATCCCCCAGACATGAGCCAAGCTGAGTTCTCTCATGACTCTTCTGGATTCTTGCCTTCAGTTTGTTTTCCTGGCTTTTGGGCAGCTCATCAGCAAACCAGAAAAGACACTGAGCAATGGTTCATTCTGGGTGTTCCATTGTTTTCAGCAGAAGAACAGGCTCTCTAGCTCACTGCTATGAGAAATTGGCATCAAATTTGCTCCCTTGACTCAGGCTTTGGTCCAGGCTAAAATGCAAATGACCAAGCTTGAGACAGAGTACCAAGGCAGGATCTCTCTCAGTGCTATATCAATACAACCCGCAGAAAATTCACCTGCATGCTGTAAATGCTAGTCATCATTCCCAGCTGTAACATCCTAACTACAAATCTCAGGATGGAGGGAGGAAGAATTTTTATTAAGTGTCCCAGTGGAGAACTACTTTGCCAAATTGTTATCTCTCCCATATGCTTTTGTACAATTTTGTTTCAGATCCCTTTATGAAATAAAATTTTATAACAAAAAACTCAGGAGGAAAAAGGTTTCTAGATACTGGCATAGAAAAAAATAAAAGCCTTTTCTGGTCACTCTAATAGAGATGCTTCTTCCCATACTAATTTTACACAGTGGTTATTTAGCCTCAAAGTCAAGTGGTGAACTTGAATTGCTGAACTTGCTTGATACTGTTCAAAAAACTGTAAGATCCATTTTTCAATTTCTTAGAGAAAAACCTTGGAACCTTAAAAAGATTGCATGGCTGCTTCTTCTACACAAGATTTTTTTAAAAAAATACTTTAAATCTTCTTATAGAAATATGCTTGAGCATAACTCTAATTATTCTGATAGGAGATATTCTTTGAAATGGATTTATTAGCTCAAAAGGCATGCATATTTTAAGGCTCCCTGTCCATACTAAAAATAGATTTATTATCCTGCTTATAAAATCAAATTAGTATATGCTCAGTAATGAATCTGGAAAGGTACATTCAAAAGGTTTAAGAAGAAATTGAAATGGCCCCAAACCCATCATGACACCAAGAAAACTATGGGTCCAACATGTTCATATATATATTTCTTGTGGATATATAATTTATTTTTATGTAATATATCATTTATACTTTTTCAAAAACAGGATTATTTTGCATATGCTACCATGTAATCTGATTTCCCACCAACAATAGACTATGTTTCTATTTCTACATTTGTAAATGTGAATTTTAGAAATGGGCTAGTGTTTTGTTGTACTTAGTATCTTGCTCAACCCTGAATACTAGCAAATATTTTATTCATTAATAAATATTTTCAATCCGTCTTGCTATGCCTATAACTGCCCACTCTGCAGTCAACCCTTGACTTCATAGGAAGGGCGGTCACTAAACATTTATATTTTCACCATTAGTTCCGTCTACCTTCCACCACCACCTACTGGACAAGGAGTACGCTAAGCTCCCAACGTGGCCAGTGCATGAACTGGCAAGAGAGGTCAAGGTGAGGTGAAAAGATGGAGGTAGCTCAGGAGATTCCATTTTAAAAGAATATGAATTCAGAAATACTCAGAGCAGAAGACAGCGGCAGGAATACTTTACAGTGGAAGACCTCCGAGATTACAGAGAACTAAATTAGGAGACATTTACAGAAAGCAGAATCTGATGTAAAGACATGACAGGGAGAGAAGGGGGCTGTGGCTGGTGGGAGAGAGGGAGAACCTTTTAGTGGGAGGGAACAGAACTGGGATAAGATTGAGCAGAGGGCAGAATCCACCCCCTCTGGCTGCTGGTTTCTCCCTGGGTCACCTTCCACTTGGAGTGGCCCACTTCTACGCGACTCTTATGTTGTGTTTGTTAGATTCCATTTCCCTAAGAAACCCTATGTATTCTTATAATTGTATGTAATTCATGTACCCATAGCTTAATAGTTTAAGTGAGTCTCTTTCTTCTAGAGGTCTAAAGAATAGAAGTAACGTAATTGTTTTGATTGTTGAGATCCAAGAGTTACTGAAGATGGTACAGTTTTGATTTTAGGTTTAAATGTGATTTTCTGTGTGTATGGAAATCTTTGTTTAAATATATTTCTTATTTCTAATCTCATAGTGTGAATAGGAACTATCTTGCATATTCTTTGCATTTTTGGAATCTAAGCATTTCTTACTCTTTATGAAGAGTATACATTTCTTTACATGTGAAAAAGAATGTGCCTTATCAATGTAAAGTATAATGTTTTAATTTCATTCAGTATATTATTTTTTATTTATTTTATGTATTTGAGTGTATTGCCTGCATGTGTGTAAGTACACACATATCATGCAATGCCTGCAGAGGTCAGATGAGGGCATTGGATCCCCTGGAACTGGAGTTACAGATGGTTCTTAGCTGCCATGTTGGTGCTGGGAATCAAAGCCTGGGTCCTCTGCAAGAGAAGCCAGGGCTCTTAACCACTGAGCCTTCTCTCCAGCCCCTAAGTCTTTTATTTTAAATATGCCTTTATTTTGGGCTTCCAATTCTATCAGGAATTTTAAAAGTAGCCTGGAAAAGTGCTCGCTATTGTACTGACTCTGACCATCCTTTCCCTCACACTCCAGTGGTCTCTTTATATAGTTTATATGATTCATTTCTTGAAGTGTTTATTTTCTATTTTATGTCTATCAATTCCCTTGGCAGTCTGTATTTGATGCTACCAGAGCCACCTGTTTTCTTTTTACTTATTTTCTGATATATGTTTATCCATCCTTTTATTTTTAACTGTTCTGAATAAATATACATACACACACAAAGCATATATATCTTTATTAATGGTAGGAATCAAACCAGGGCCTTGTGCATGCTAGGCAAGGCTCTACCACCAAGCTTTATTCCCAGGGCTCCATCATATTTTTTTTCAATGTGTCTCTTAATGAAAGTATAAGGATTTTGTGACTATTTTTCTTGGATCTGTCTGAGAATCTCTGAGATTAATAGAATGAATTTAGATACCATCTAGCCATTTCCAAGTCTGTTGGTTTTCTTCCTGTTTCCTGTTTCCTGTGGTGTTCTAAGGTGTGGTCATGTGATTTCCTGTTTTGTTGGGTGTGGCCCTTCCTGGGATATGGTTATGTCCTGAGTTGTGGTTGATAGGACATTAACACTGAAATATATTTCCTTTCTAGGCTCTTTCTCCTTTGCTTTTTCTGGTCCATGCTAATGCCTGAGTCAACCTTGTAAATTAGGGGTGCAGTCTAGGTTCCTGAGTTACTGCTGTGTGAAGCAGAGCCTTATGGACTACTGATTGAATTTATGAGAAAGACACTTGTTCTATGTTGCTTGCTGTACCAGCAGCCACTCAGCTGCTAGTGACAGAACAGATAATGTGAACTAGTGCAGGAAGGGCAGAGAAAGTGGGCTTTTGAAATAATAAAAAACTGACAATGTAAGGTACAACCTTAACATCTGGGGGCTGGGCAGACAGT